GGCCCCTCCCACTGGACAATTTAACGCAAAATACAAACAAGATGCCTTAAGAGGCACTCACACAGGCTATGTCATGCCAACAACAATAAACAATATATTAAATCAAAATATATCAGGTTTGATCGGTAGTTCAGGATAAAAACTCTCTACGTGATGAGCTGATCACCTGATCAATCTAACGGCGCCAACACTGCCCATTTAAACCGGGGGAAGGATGAGATCGGCTTGGCCACGGAAGGAAACCCCACCCTACAGGTAATTCAATGCTTAAGTGTTGTATGTATGTATACGGAACATCCCCAAGTGTGCACCCATGGGGATTTTAACCAGCGGGAAAACGGGGCAAAGGAAATTAAACAACGTATACAGAAAATGAATAGCGCGGCAGGGAAACGGGAAATATGAAAGTGAATGCTACGTGTATGTAACTTGGGTTCGAATAATGGCCGAGAATAATTTAATAAATGTATGTGCGTGTACGCGGATGTGAGTGCGAATGTTGCGTCTACCGGTAGATGTATGAGTCAGTGCGCGACTTGAGATAATAGACGGACGTGCTCTGTCACACCCACCCAGATGTTCCTCCATCTAAATGGATCCCACACAGTATCCTCTCCTTTCTCACGTCACATGGGCCAGCAGCCCTGCTCCCATTGGCCCGTTTGGATGACTGAGCCCTGGTTTGAATCCTCTCCTCCATGTTCAGGCTAACACAGCCTCAAAGCCACTTAGTTGGTTAAAATGCAGTCAAAAGAGAAGCTAAGTTTCTAGCTAATAGTTAGCTAAATGCTAGTCAGAAATTACCTAATTATTGGTCAAATGTTAACCCAATTTTGGCCTTAAATTGGCTAAAAGTGGCTAATTGTTAGTAAAATGCTGGCTAAAAGTTGACAAAATGTTAGTCAATGTTGGCTAAAAGGACTTAAATGCAGAGTAAAGGTTACCTAAATGTTGGTTGATGCCAGGTAAAAGCTAGCCAAATTTTCTTTTAGCCAGCTAAATGCTGCCTAAAAAGAGCTAAACTTTGGCTAATGTTGGCTAAAAAGAGCTAAAAGTTGGTAAATATTGGCTAAAAGTTGTCTAAATGATGGTTAATGTTAGTTAAAGTTAGCTTAATGCTTTAGCAGCAGGGCAGCAAAGGTAAGGCAGGATTTCTGAGGCTGTTTGTGGAAACTGAAGCAGAACTTTGGTCTTCTTTTTGTTTCTATTAGGAGCTCAAGAGGTTAAAAAAGAGAAGGATCAGCTTCAGTTTGTGTATTTTTATCCCCAAAATCGATCTTCAAAAGATGTTGAGATCCTTCAACTGTGAGAAAAATGTTCTGCAGCTGTGATGGTAACAAATTAGGCAAAATTAAAATGATTTGGAGGGATTTAATATGTGTTCATGTTTTTCATTTAGGGCTTTAAATGCATAAAACAGTTACCCAACTTTCTTCAATCTAGATTTTCAAAACTCTGTGAAATCACAAGAAAGCTTCATTTAAATATCTTTCAAGGACATTTAAAACCTTTTTGTTTTAAACTGTGAAATTACAAGAAAGCTTCATTTAAATATCTTTCAAGGACATTTAAAACCTTTTTGTTTTAAACTGTGAAATCACAAGAAAGCCTCATTTAAATATCTTTTAAGGACATTTAAAATAAGCAAAAAATATTTTCTGTGAACCCTAAATGTGTTTATTGGCGGTTTAATGCATATTTCTGTGCACAAACGTCTATTTTTCACCCACAGAAAGAGCAAAAAGGAGCTTTCCCCTCTTAGATTGAGAGGTGAAAGTGGGAATTCTCTTTATATTCTTGTCCATCCATGACGGATTTGTTCTGACAAACCTTAGGCAAGGCATTTTTATTTATATAGCGCCATTCATACAAAGCGGCAACCCAATGTGCTTTACATTAAGACAAGACATTTTAAATAAAATAACAGCATAAAAAAAACAAGCAAACAAACAAACAATTTTTAAAAAAAGGTTAAAACACAGTTAAAAGCAGGAACAAAGGAAAAAGCAGGAATATGTTTGTTACAGCTCCAGTGCTTTTGCAAAACCAAGATTACAATGTTAAAAAGAACATATTAAAAAAATATTTAAAAAAAGCTCAGTTATAAGCACACGAGACGAGAAATGTTTTTAACCTGGATTTAAAAGTGCTTACAGTTGGGGCTGTTTTGAGTTCTGCTGCTAGCTTGTTCCAGCATAACAGCTAAACGCTGCTTCACCAATCAATCAATCAATCAATCAATCAATCAATCAATCAATCAATCAATCAATCAATCAATCAATCAATCAATCAATCACTTTATTTTGGTAAATTGTCCACATTAAACACAAGAAACAACAAAAGAAAAAAAGAAAAGAACAAACCCACAGTTTACCAAAAAAGGAATAGGCAGAAGCAAAGCTTATTCTTGCTTATTCTACCCTATTTTTTACCTTACAACCTACGAGGATTTCTTCAAATTCAGATTCAAGTACATAGTACATATATATGAAGCCGGGAGTAATGCAGCACACGGAGCTTCAAATAAAGTGGGTCCTTTATTTTTTTTTAGATGAAAATGACACTTTTCTCTCTGAGTTGCAAAGAAACAAATGAAAAAATGATTCTATCAACGTAAAGCCTCAGCTTTACGCAGCAATGTAGTTTCACATAGAAACTTAACTTTAACAAAGGGTATAATAAACGGCAGTGCCACTTCTAAAGGAGGACAAACAAAGAAAAACGTAACATTAACATCCTCTCCTTAGCTTTGTTCACGGAAGATAATTTAGCTTTGACATTAATTACCAAACACTTGGATTCTCCGCTTAGGTGGCCGTAGTCATCCTTTTCACTTTTCAACAGGTCTTGGCTCAAAAAATGTCCTTTTCTTCCATTCCACCTGTCAGAATGCCACAATTCATAAACAAGAGGTTTTTTCCAATTCTGGTAATTCTAGACCTCCTTGCAATAACAGCACCACATGCTGGTAAAAACAAGAATTACAACCATTTGGTGAAATAAATCAAAACATGGTTTACGTAAAAATACATTTTTTTACATGTAGCCATTTTTCACCTGGTTACATATAGATCTACATAACAGCGTAAGATTTTATCATTTTACATTTTAAAGCTCTTTTAAAGTTCACTAAGAAAGGACATAACTTAAATTCCCCGTGTCTGGTTTGAACTCTGTGCTCCACTATCTGACCTGAGTCAGTAGGCCTTAGAAAAATGATATTTCTCAGCTTGACGGGGACAAATGTGGGTGTTTCTCTCTGAGGGATTAAGACCCTTTGCCAGGAGTCTGTGGAGTCTCTGCAGGGCCCTTTTCAAACCGCTTATCCTTTATTATAAGACGTCATCTCCTCTAATTTTACAGAAAACACAAAGCACATGACAGCAAAGGCAGCTAAACGAGACGTTCAGGGTCAGGGACAGAAACAGAAAAGCACTTTATTTATACAGCAAATACAAATAAAAACCATCAAAAACAATAAAAAACGGCTGAATCTAAGATGATAAAATGCGATTAAAGTGTCATCCCACCACTGGGATATGTAGGAAGGGTTAGATTTGAAGAAATAAGACGCCTGTGGCTTTTGTTGCTTATTTTTTGTGTTTTTTTGGCTTCCCTGTTTTGTTTTTGTGTGTTTTTTGTGTGTTTTTGACAGATATGGCAGCTGGTTGTTTGGTTTTGTTGTCTTTCTTTGTTCTTTTCTCTCTCTTTTTGTCTACAGGATCTTCCTCCTTTTCGGGTCAGTTTGTTTCTCTCTGCTCGTCCTTTGTTGGATTCTTGTAAAGTTTTAAAGCAAAAAGTAATGAAGGCATAGTTGGATGATCTAAAGGGGTCACTAAGCCTCCTTTGGCAAAGCAAACATGGCCATATTTGAGAAAAAGAAAGAAAGAAAGAAAGAAAGAAAGAAAGAAAGAAAGAAAGAAAGAAAGAAAGAATAGATAAATGAACAAAAGAATAAATAAAAAAATAAAAGAAAATAAATAAATCAAAATAACAATAAAAAAACATAAATAAAAATAACAATGAATAAACAAAAATAACTAATAACTAAATAACTATTTACTTATTTAGTTAGTTATTTGTTATTTTTGTTATTTGTTATTATTTAAATAAATCCTAGATAAATAAATAAATACATTAAAATCACAAATAAATAAATAAGTAAATAGAGCTTATATTTTGTTTCTCCAGTGGTCTAACTGGGAGCTCAGCAGGGTCCTGCAGCTCATGTGGAGCTAAAAACATTTAGAATATCTTTAAAAAATCATCTAAAAGGGTCACTAAGCCTCCTTTGGCAAAGCAAACATGGCCATATTTGAGAAAAAAAAAAGAAAGAAAGAAATAGATAAATGAACAAATGAATAAATGAAAAAATTAAATAAAAAATAAATTTAAAATAACAATAAATAAATTAAAATAATAAATAAGTAAATAACTATTTACTTATTTAGTGTTTTTTTGGCTTCCCTGTTTTGTTTTTGTGTGTTTTTTGTGTGTTTTTGACAGATATGGCAGCTGGTTGTTTGGTTTTGTTGTCTTTCTTTGTTCTTTTCTCTCTCTTTTTGTCTACAGGATCTTCCTCCTTTTCGGGTCAGTTTGTTTCTCTCTGCTCGTCCTTTGTTTGGTGCTTGTAAAGTTTTAAAGCAAAAAGTAATGAAGGCCGCGTTGGATGATCTAAAGGGGTCACTAAGCCTCCTTTGGCAAAGCAAACATGGCCATATTTGAGAAAAAGAAAGAAAGAAAGAAATAGATAAATGAACAAATGAAAAAAAATAAAATAACAATAAATAAATTAAAATAATAAATTAAAAATAAAATTACAAACATTAATAAAAATAACAATAAATAAACAAAAATAACAAATAACTAAATAACTATTTACTTATTTAGTGTTTTTTTGGCTTCCCTGTTTTGTTTTGGTGTGTTTTTTATAGATATGGCAGCTGGTTGTTTGGTTTTGTCGTCTTTCTTTGTTCTTTTCTCTCTCTTTTTGTCTACAGGATCTAAGATGGCAGCCGGAGGAGGTTTGGGGCTGCAGGAGTCCTGATCTGAATCCGAAGGAGCTGGACTCTAAGGGACCGGCGGGGGGCCGAGCCCTGACCCAGATTCTGACCAGGTCTTTGTCCCGGAGGACGGAGCAGATTCCCCTCATTCGATCCCCCGAAGGCCAGCACACAAAAACTGACTTATTAGTGTAAAAACATTCGGAGCCCCTCTGATGACATGGTCAAAAAAAAAAAAATTAAATCGTGCTATATGCATAAAGGTGGATTGGATTGGATTGGATCATTTCTGTGTGTTTTTACGGAGCCCCTCTAATGACATGGTCAAAAAAAAAATTAATTGTGTCCACGAAGTAGTGTTTCATGCGCACGAAATACTACTTCGTGGACACGCAATAAGTATAACGGGCGCACGAAATACTAATTAACAGAAGTGTGACCAGGTCACTGTGTTGCAAGTCTCAAGTAAGTCTCAAGTCTCTGTCCTCAAGTCCGAGTCAAGTCTCAAGTAAAGACAGGTAAAGTCGAGTCAAGTCTCAAGTCGTGATTTTAACTCATTGACTGGCAGCCATTTTCAGAACAGAGTCCCGTACTGCCAGAGTTTTTTGAGCATTTTGACTGATTTTTCTAGAGCCACAGAATAGTTTGTGCTATGACTATGTAAACACCGAACACACCAAAAGAAAGAGTAGACTCTCTTCTTTCATCAGGAAAAAAAATGTGTTTCTACCTTATTCCGTTCTTCCTGGACTTGCGTCTCACCGGCGACATGTTCTCTCATAGAACCGTTCCCTTTTTCTTATTTGCCTACAGCCTATGCTCATCTCCCATCAAAAGTGGCACTGCCCCCTAGAGGGTCAATTTGTTACTACATACTCTGTCTAGAAGCCCATATTTACGGACAAGCTTTAGCAGATCGTCCCCCAGACACTCTCGTTAAAAACATAAAAGACCTCTATAGACGTCTTTGGCAGCCAATGAGTTAACGACTCGAGTCTGACTCGAGTCCAAGTCATGTGACTCGAGTCCCCACCTTAGCTAAAGTCAACTATCTTACAGCAAAAGAAAAAGTGCCACCTACCAATCTCTGTGAAGCTTCAAATGCCGGACAAAGTTGGACGTCGTGGCATCTCCATCCGATATTCTCTTCTTGCGTGTTTTACAAGTTGCAGTCCGTTTTTTAGTCGAAATTTCATAACCTACGTAGCCAAAAGAAATGACTCGCGGAAACATATTCGAGCGGTTATTTCGTATTTCGTTCGCTGAGCTCTGTAGCTTCGCCACGTTTTTTTTAAAGGTCCAAATCCTGTTAATTTGACACATCCATACATAAGGAGAGAGGAAAAACATAGTGACGGTCTGTGCGTATTGATACGGAATGAGTGAAATTAATTTATTAATTTACTTTATGAATAATGTGTTTTAAACTTTAAGACTTTGAGTAAAAAATATCAAGTCTTTTCAAGTAAACAGCTTCAAGTCGAGTCAAGTCCGAAGTCGATGGCATGAAAGTCAAAGTCAAGTCCGAGTCTTTGAGCATTTTTTCAAGTCAAGTCTCAAGTCGTGATTTTAAAGTCATGTGACTCGAGTCCCCACCTCTGCTAATTAATAATATTAATGTCATTCCTGGACCAAATCGAGTGCGCAGTAGAGAGAGGAGGATCCTGACGTCTTTTTTTCTGATAGAAATACCGTGTTGTTTACACTTTGTAAACATCTACCGGTAACCGTGATCATTCCCAGGGCCTTGCAGTTGGTCAACAATGAAAATTATCCTGGCGTCCAAGTCGTACCTTCGCCGCTAAAGTAACCTGGCTCTCAATATTCTGTTTAAATGTCTCTCGGTAATGACGGTTCCTTGTGTTGGGTCTAAATACGACTCCTAGTTCCTCACTATCAAGAGTTTAGTTATTATTCAATAGACCCAGGAAGAGGCATCGGAATAAAAAGGCTTGACACAGAGGTTAAGTTTTTCTCAACTGCAGAAGAGGGAGAGACGGTGTGGCCAGAGAATGCCTAACATAGAATCTCACCCACATTTCTCTAGCCGTTGATTTTTATTAGACTGATAGTTGCTAAGCAGTGTACATATTATGGGATATGAAAGTATTGGACACTCGAGGTCAATTTCTGTCATGTCCTTATAAGGTTTTTCCCGGTAGTTGGCCTGTTGACGTCCAGACCTTGGAAGATACAGATGGTAGACAGATGGGAGTCAAAACACACATATTTTAGCTTATCGCTTATGTAAATACGAAAAATAGCTTCTACATATCCCTCCTGTTGTGAGTTTTGGGAACCTTCTGTTAAACTAACATAGGGGACCGTACATCAGAGTAGAAACAGTCTCTAACAGAGAATTTAGCAACTACTCGTCACAATAAACAACACAACAGTGATCGAGGACAGGAGTGGGCGAAAACCCTTCTTTTCTATGTGAAGGGAAAAATTCCCACTCGACCTTTCCGCACGGAAACGATCGCCTCTTGGCCAGTCCACGATCCGGATCAGTCTTTTGGAATACTTTCGGGGAGAGTAGGAAAGGGTAGAGGTGAAAAGAGAGGATAGTGGAGGGCAGAGGTTACTAGCACGTGCCCTCACCGGTGGTACGGACCCTCATGCCGGGCTTTTCAGAATGTCTTTGTAGCTCATTCCCAGCCTAAAATAAAATTATATCAAACTGTCCGTTTCCATCGTGGAGCTTTGGCCTCTCTAATGCCTCTACCTTAGACCTTAGAGAAGGCGCGCTCGATTTGCTTACCCAGTTGTCCAGGAATTATATTAATATTATTATTAAAAAGTATTTCGTGCGCACGTTAAACTTAATGCGTGGCCACGAAGTAGTATTTCGTGCGCACAAAATACTACTTCGTGGCCACAATTAATTTTTTTTTTTGACCATGTCATTAGAGGGGCTCCGTAAAAACACACAGAAATGATCCAATCCAATCTAATCCACCTTTATGTATATAGCACGATTTAAACAAACACAGGGTTTTCCAAAGTGCTGCACAAAAACATATCCAGAGAAATAAATAACACAGTAGAAATTCAGCTAAAATTAAAAAATATGCATTTTTTTTCTTGTTCTCTGACATTAAATCACTTTTTTTCTCATCATCAATTTAATTAAGTGGATGTTTTTAAATGTAATTTTAATCCAATTTGAAATTTTCCAGATGATCCAATCCAATCCACCTTTATTTATATAGCACGATTTAAACAAACACAGGGTTTTCCAAAGTGCTGCACAAAAACATATCCAGAAAAATAAACAACACAGTAGAAATTCAGCTAAAATGACCCTACAGTCAGCCCTCTGTGCGTCAGATGTAATCTTACAGAGGCCTTTCTTGTTCTTCTCATGTCCTCAATTAAGCAACTACTGGAAGGCAGTCTTTAATACACTATCTTGCTCATTTAAGGCCAAATTGGAACCAAATCCAGTTGCAGCCCTATTTGGGGTCCTTGAGGGTGGAGCTGTTTCAAGTGCTGCTAAAAAATATCCTATAGCCTTTGCTTTACTTTTGGCACGTCGTCGTGCAATCTTGCTCAGATGGAAAAATTCCCCCCCCCCCCATCCCATTCACAGTGGCTGCAAGATATCATGTCTTGTCTAAAACTCGAAAAGATCAGGTACTCACTTAAACAGTCTCTTGGTTCATTTGAACATTTGTGGGGTCCTTTCTTTAACCTCCTGAGACCCCAGATTTTAATTGGTGTGCATTTTTGCTTTTTTAAAGATATATGGGATTAGTACAACCTACTAAGTTTAATAACTAAAATTTGTCATGGTACAGGTAGTTGTGCTTCGTATAGGCTCAGTGGGTTTATCTTTATATTTAAAATGCTAGTTTATGTATCTAATTAAATGTTATTGGAATTTTGTTCTGACAGTCCAAATTACTTATTAACAATTTTTTAATTACGCAATAAGAACATTATTGGTTGAAAATGTATAGCACCCATTTTACTTTAGAGTGTCTGATAGCGTCTGCTATGAAGCCAAGAGGTCAAAGTCGAAAGAAAAAAGAAGTATCATGGTAAAGAGAGGCAAAAATGCTATGTCCTCTTATGAGGACGCAGGGTCTCAGGAGGTTAAAACATTTCCAGCTCTCTAATAGTTCAGACATGCTCAACTGCACTGATTCTACCTGGGCGGGTCCTGAGTGTTGTGGAGTGATGACATAGTTTTGGCAGTGACGGGAAGGGGTTATTCTGTTTTATTGTATTATATCTTTGTGCTTCACTACTTGACTTGTTTTACTGTAGTTGTCATACCACTTTTTTTTATTTGTGAAGTCTATATCTCTCTTGTATGACAACAAACTTTTGTATGAACAACATGTCTTACTGGCTTTTACGAGCCCGCTTTGTAACACCTTATAACTGTGCTCTGTTTTTGGTTTATGTAAAATTCAATAAAAAATATCTTGAGTTAAAATAAGAAATTCAGCTCAAATAAAACAATATCCATGAGTATACATAAAATCAACATTAACTCTATGTTTTTAAATGTCATCTTAATTCAATTTGAAATTGTTACTTTGGCAAAATGTGTTTTTTAAATTTAAGTAAAATCACTATTTTGTTCTAGGTACCTTTTAAAAGATTAACATAATTATTATTCTTTAAAATGATTATTTATTTATTTTTTTGTTTATTCGTACAATACAATACATATTAAACTGATCATTTTATAGTTTATGTATATCAATTTGATATGTCCTGTGTGTTTATTTTAAATTTATTATATTAAATTGAATAATTTATCAACAATTTTTAGTACTAGTTATTTGTTATTTTTTGTTTATTTATTTTTATTTTTATTTATGTATTGTTATTTTAGATTTGTTTTTTTATTTAATTTTTAATTTATTCATTTGTTCATTTATCTATTTCTTTCTTTCTTTTTTTTCTCAGATATGGCCATGTTTGCTTTGCCAAAGGAGGCTTAGTGACCCCTTTAGATCATCCAACATCATTCATTACTTTTTGCTTTAAAACTTCACAAGCATCCAACAAAGGACGAGCAGAGAGAAACAAACTGACCCGAAAAGGAGGAAGATCCTGTAGACAAAAAGAGAGAGAAAAGAACAAAGAAAGACAACAAAACCAAACAACCAGCTGCCATATCTGTCAAAAACACACAAAAACACACAAAAACAAAACAGGGAATCCAAAAAAACACAAAA